GGGAGCATCTTCCACCCGCAATGCGCAGGAGTCATATGACGCGGCCGCTCGCGAGTGCCGAGAGAAGGTCAAGCGAATCATCCGAGAGTGCGAAAGAACGAATGAGAAGTTCACCGACCCCGACTTCGACATTGAGCGTGATCCTAAGAAGAACTGTCTTAACGGTCTTATCCGTGACGGGGACCAGGGTACTGGCGGAAGTGGAGCCGCGGGAGATGTGCCGTATGTGAGCAGCTGGGATGTGAAGAACAGCCTCGACACACTCAACGCCGCGCAGATCTTGGGTCCTAGCTCTACTATCCCCATCGATCCCACGGCGGTGAGCCGTTTTCTTGGGGGCGACAGTGACATCTGGAATCCCTTTGCCAATGCAGCTGCCGGTAAGGGAGCCAAGTCGGGATCTGGCAAAGTCTCGAAGCGTCATGGCGTCCGAGGAAGCGAGTACTACAACCCTGGTTCAATCCACCGCGTTGACTGGATCTTTGATTCGCCGCAATTCACGATGAACGGCTACTCGTCATCCGATATCAAGCAAGGTTCCAACGGTGACTGCTGGTGGCTCGCCGCGGTTGCCACCATTGCGCACCGGAAAGACCTCATGGAGAAAGTCTGCGTTGCTCGCGACGAAGAGTGTGGCGTCTACGGTTTTGTCTTTCAGCGCGATGGCGAGTGGATTTCCACAGTCATTGACGACAATCTCTACCTCAACGAGTCAGACTTTGACTACTATGGAGACGTCTACGATGCTAGTGGCAAGAAGGCCCGCCTACATAGGAAGAGGCACCAGACGGGCTCTGATGCTCTCTACTTTGCTCGCTGCGATGATCAGAATGAGACGTGGTTGCCGCTTCTCGAGAAGGCATACGCCAAGGTTCATGGTGACTATGAGGCCATCTCGGGTGGCTGGCCCGGCGAGGGAGTTGAGGACATGACAGGTGGCGTAACCTCAACAATCGCAACTAACCGCGTGTTGAGAAAGGACAAGTTGTGGAAAGAGCTTGTAAATTCTGACGGAGAGTTTGTCTTCGCCCTTGCTGCCATGGGGACTGGGTGGGACTGGCAAAAGAGCGGCCTGGCGTTGGGGCACGCATACTCTATCCTTCAGTCACGAGAGGAGGTTGACGAGGACGGCAAGAAGGTTCGCCTCGTTCAGATCCGGTAAGATTTGCTCCTAGAGTCTCAGTATCTTGCCTTGCTCTGACACTTGAACCAACAGGAACCCCTGGGGCGAACGATCCGATGGCGGTGTCGGCGAATGGAACGGGCCGTGGTCCGACGGCTCCAAAGAATGGACCCCGTACTGGCTTAAGCGCATGAATCACACCTTTGGCGATGATGGCGTCTTCTGGATGTCGTACCAGGATATGCTCTCGACCTTTATGTACATCCACCGCACGCGCCTGTTTGATGACAAGTGGACCGTCGTGCAACAGTGGACCTCCGCCAATGTATCTTGGGTGACAGGTTTCCTCCAGACCAAGTTCGTTGTGGAGGTCAAGAAGTCGGGCATGGTCGTATTTGTCCTGACGCAGCTCGACGACCGCTACTTCCACGGATTTGAGGGACAGTACTGGTTCGAACTACACTTCGTCCTTCAGCAAGCTGATTCTACAACCTCTGTGGCCAGCGATGAGTCCAAAGATGGAGAGAAGAAAAAGGCGGATGCCCCTGAGCCAGAGCAGATTTGCCGCGTCCGACCTGTGCACAAGTGGGAGAATCGCTCGGTGAGCTGCGAGGTCGACCTAGAGCCAGGCATCTACGAGGTTCTGCCTAAGATTACAGCCGTTCGCAACAGCGAAGGCGACGTTAGCACAATCAAGCCTGTTGAGGAAGTAGTCAAGGAGTATGCCGAACGCAACCCGCAGAAATTGCGACAGGTAGGCTTGCAGTACGATATCGCTCACGCCAAGGGTGGTGTTCGGAACGAGGACGAGCTCGTAGAGAAAAAGAAGCTTGAAGCGAAGCAGAAGAAGGAGAGCAAGAAAGCAAAGAAAAGAAGAAAGCAGAAAAAGGCGCTCGGTATAGCGGCGAAGGCGCTTGAGGATTCCGCCAAGGTTGTGTCTGACCTCGCGAATGAGGGCAAGAAGACTGAGGAAAAGAAGGATACCAAGGACGCTGTCGGGAAGGAAGGGAAGAAGTCCGAAGACAAGGATCAAAAGAAGGAGGGCGATTCGATTGCAATTAAAATCGCAGTTAAGGAGTCAGTTCAGCCCACTGAGGCAGAGAAGCCGGCGAACGTAAATACGTCAAAGCCTGGCGATGGCCCGACCCAGGAGCCAAAGAAGGATGATGAGAAGGAGCCTAAGGAGAACAAAACCGAAGAGAAGAAACCCGAAAGCGATCAGAGCGAGAAGAAGTCTGAGGAGTCAAAACCAGCCGAGGAGACTCCCATCGCTGAATCTAAAGCCGAAGACGTCGCTGATGAGACGCCTGTTGAGGAAGCGCCGGCTGAGGAGGAAGAGGTTTCTGATTCAGACTCTGATGCTGAATCCACTGTCTTGGATGACGAAGAGGAGCTGACTGGATCTCCATGGAACGCTGTCTGTGTCTTGGGCCTGCGTGTCTATGCCCGGGACCCCGAGGTCTCCATTAGGCTCGTCAAGCCGAGTGATGCCGAGGAGGCCTCAAGCTTGATTGTTGATGGCGAGGCTGCTGGTGCCACTGCTTGAAATTTGTAAATGATGATGAACACGATCGTTATGAAACATTTCTGTAGGACCTAATACGACTTTTCTCTTCTCCTTGCTTGACACTGAAAGCCGTGGTGACTCTTGAAGCTGTTGAAATTGGTTGACCAGCGGATCTCATTACTCAAATAGGAGGCCTTAAAGTTTCCATACGTGACCTCTCGATAAACTCCTCTACATCTTTGCGCACAATCCAATACAGCAACTACAGCATTGGAGAGGTCTAGCCTTTAGAAGCGCTTTCGAAGCATCTCTGCCACGGTCCACCGATAGTAGGTGTTTATCGCTAGGGATCCGACAACTCGATCGGGAATCACGCACTATGCCTATTCGGGTCATCAAAAGCGCTGCATCAGAAAACCAGTCGAAAGGTATCGAGCGATTCATCCACCTTCTTCATGGCATCGGAGTGCCTCAAACATCGATGCTGTCAAAATGCCTCACCGATTGAGATTCTCAGTATCATGCCTCCAACATCTATCAATGCTACTGGCATTCGTCAGCCAAAGCCTTGCCTCACCAACCCACTCTCAATCGCCCGGCTCTTCCGTAAAACATTTCCCCGCCACGGCCGACATCCCAGGATTCTCCCTCAGGCTCGGGTCCGACACGGCTAGTGTATGCAACAGCTCAACTCCCGGCGTCGCCGGCTTTGTCGATACAACTGATGGTGACGATGAGAGTCATCTGTTCTTCTGGCTTTTTGAAAGCAAGCATCGTCCTTTTAATGACCCCGTAATATTATGGATGTCTGGGTCAGTGTTTCTAGCCGTCTCGAGCCAAAACCAATCTCCCTGCTAACTTTGTCTTCGAATATTTCTAGTGGCCCAGGAGCGTCTTCTACTGGCTATGGCAACCTGATGGAGTTGGGACCCTGTCGCATCGCGCCTGAGGGCGGGTACACCATCGATAACCCGCACGGTTGGAACGCGAATGCAACCTTGATCTTTGTCGAGTGAGTTGAGTATTGTCGTTTGGATACCATCTTGATCTTGGGAATCATGTTTTTTACACTCAAAGATGCTTGACTGATACTTGCATGGTTCAACTCTAGTCAGCCAGTAAGTGTCGGCTATTCGACGGGATCCAAGATACCCAATGGTCTGCAAGAAGCATCTCAAACGATGGATCGATTCCTTCGTCAACTCATGATCGCCTTCCCTCAATACTCAAGCCTTAATTTCTATATCGCTGGAGAGTCTTATGGTGGATCGTGGGTGCCGGCTCTGGCTTCCACAATACTTGACAATCAGGCAAATTCCCACGACATAAACTCCCGCAATGTTGACCTCCATTCTGCTGCTTCAGAGTTCTCGGTTCAAAACAACGAACATCATTGGGCAGGAGATCATTCACCGGTCCGCCTACCTTCGCGGGTCCCGCTCATCAACTTGAAGGGCATTCTCATTGGCAACGGATTAATCCGACTTCGTATTCAGAATCCAGGGACTTTCGAAGCGCTTTGTTCCGGGCCTGATAGTCTGCTAAGCACCTCACAGTGCATCGAATGGGCCCCACTCAACCTTTGGTGCGAGCAGAATCTAGGTGTCTGCGAAGGCACAGGCGATGATGAAGGATGGACATCCCGAGCTTGTATCGAAACACACGAGAAATGTTCGTCCATGAGCGGCTACGTTGTCGACAAATTGAGGCGCAACCCATATGACTGGAGACGAAGTTGTGGTGATGGTCCTTCGGAAGAATGCTACGCCGAGCTAGGCCACATTGACGCCTTTTTAAACCAGACAAAGGTAAAGGTTGCCCTCGGAGTTAACGAAGATGCTTCGTTTGAGGGAATCTCGTACGAAATACTGAAGCAGTGGGAGAGCGTGGGTGACTTGTGGAAGTCCAGCGATGAGTACGTCAACAGGCTTCTCGATGAGGTAAATAGCCCAAGGACAGAACAAGGCCTGTATTGAAACTTACTGAAAACTCTTACAGGGGATTCGCGTTCTTATATACGTGGGCGACAAAGATTTATACTGCAATGCAGCTGGAATGCGGCGGCTCGTCAACGAGGGACTGGCATGGCATGGACACCCCTTCTTCCGCTTCCGAGAGATGACTCTTTGGTACCATGACGCTAAGGTAGCTGGCAGGTGGAAGTCTTACAAAGAGCTCACCTATGCCGAGATATTCAACTCTGGTCACTTGGCACCATTCGACCTGCCGGCCGAGTCTGCCTCACTAATCAACTCGTGGGTCCTGGATGGACATCCACCAGTGCAGTAACCGGAAAAAGGCACATTGCGGACAGCGTGATGCTTTACTAGACGGTCATTTTCATATATGTGTAGAGCTCTCTAAGTAGAGTCAAGTATTACTGGACTCCGCAATCTCCAGTTGACTAAGGTTCCGTAAAGATGCTGGTAACGCTTCGCACAGACAATCTCCGGCCTGGGCTAGCAGACACATATTCTCTCTCGGGAGGCCTGGAAGTGGCTTCAGTCTAAGATTTTTTAATGTCGCCTCCAAATGCGCACATCTCGTTGCAATTAGTGAGATTGAAGGAAGGTAGCCGGTGTCGAATGTGAAGTAAGGAGACCCTTCAAAAGTCGCAAGGACCTCCGGATCTACTATCCCTGCTTCTGTGGACATCGCTTTGAATACAGCCAAGTGACTGTCGTAGTCGTATTCTTTGTCACCAAACGCCGTGTTCAGCCATATTCTGCAACACTCGTATCGTGACACAATGACGTATCGTAACGCCGTTGTTAGAGTCTCTTGCCCGGGAACAGGCTCGCTCGGTGGTGATGCGGGCCGGGCTTCAAATGCATCGAATAGTATCTTCCACTGATCTAGTGATGACGCAAGACTGGCTTGCTCATCGAGTAAGTCAGGCGGCACAATTTGGTGTTCTTCCGGGTATATTCTATAAGGGTCGCCATTCCGCACCAACCGCATGGTGCGGCTGAAGATGTCGTCAACCATTCTTTGGGCGTCATAAAATGTTGAAAAGCTGCTGGGAATCGGATGCTCGAGACCTTCCAGATTGGGAAAGTCTCTAGGATCGGTCGCGTGCAGGAAAGCGTAGATGCTCAATCGTCGAAACAGAGGCAGCAAGTGTTCCTTAGTCCAGGCATAGTCCCTGATTGTGCTTTTCAGAAGCTGGAATCCGTGTTTCAAGTGCTTTACCGTCTCTTCACGGTTGACTTGTAGGAATTCAATAGTGATAAACAGCAGACACACCAGCAGTATGACAGGACTTCGCTCAGGGGAGGTCATAGTCCTGAGGTCATGGATAGCTGTGTTATAATGTTGCAAGGCGTAAAGATCGTCCTTCAAGAGGATCTCTTCATCCATGTCCTCCTGGAATTGTAGACGTTCACAGAGGGTACTGATGGCAATGACAGAGTGGCGCGCGGCAGGCTCGAAGCTGGTGAACTGCATTACCAGTTTAGGCCAGAAATGAGGGTCCACGGCACCCGACATGTAAGGACCGGCTACCTCGCAGAAAAACTGCAAGGCTCTGCCCTCCCCGACCCCGTCTGCTCCCGGAAAGACATGGTGCGGTCGGTAGCGGCGGAGTTGGGATTTGTTTGTTGGCGAGGGCGCTGGACTGTAGCCATCACACTGGCGGCCGGTGGCTGCGCAGCGATTGCAGGTTGGCTTGGTCTCGTCACACTTCACTTTGCGTATCCTACTTGGTCATGAAGAGTTAGATACGAGGTACCATCTAAGGCAAGTTCTCAATTCTCACTGTGTACCGATCGAGGAAATGGACACTCTCAGGCACACTCACTTGCATGTTATGCAGCCAGTTCTAGTCTTCCGACTGCCCTTTCGAGCCATCGTGTTTCTGCTTCAGGCCGTCTGCGTACCTAAGGCCACGACCCCACTTGGCCAGCCTCTCCGTCGAAGCGATAACGGGGCAAGCCACCTGCGGTTCTCATGACCCCGGAGCGGGTGTGGGAAGCTTGACCTAGCCGTGTAATGTCAACAAACACATCGGCGACGGCAGGCGTGCGTGCGGAGAAGAAGGAAATCTGGCGTCTGGAGATAATAATTCGGATGTTCCTTCATGGTGCGTCTGCGGGGCGACAAGGGTCCAATGCGAGCCAACCAATATTAGCATAGCTCAGGCCAGCCAACAATGAAGAGCGACGCCCAGAGTCTTTGATTGGCCAGGTCGATGGACCATGAGACGGGGCTCTCGATAACGGGATGTCTCGACTTTCGAAGTGAAGGGGAGCAAAAAAACATACGTCAAATTGTTTGAATTTTCATGATAATTGGGATGTTGAGATGTTGGGCTGGTCTTCCACAGTGGGCGTCTCGCTGAACTCTTATGGAGAATCAAAACGTAAGCTTATGACACAAGAAACTGCCCGAAGGATTTGTCGGGGTGGCTGTGACTGTCATCATGGCATTTCACTCTCTTGAATTAGGCAGCCACTGTTCAGCTGTCTGCTAAGCCCTTTAGAGCCTGCGCTTATGTCTATGCCGCATCAGCTCAACGGAAAGTCATAGACTTGATAAGTTAGTCGGATCAAGCTTTCATGACAGCGAACACCATTAGCCTACATACGCTGTTGTACTTGATAGCCCGGGGAGAGATAAGATAAGCTAGAACAGTCTAATCCAGCCACGCTATAAAGTCAAAGTTCCTCTGACAAGCTCTTCCTGAGTACTTAAGTATTTGGTGAAGTAGTCTCTCTCAGTCAATCATAACAGACTCAAGTACAAGTCAGCACAGCATTGCCTATTTACTGTAACAACCATGCAATGTTGACTTCTCCACAGCTTCTCTCATGACATGAATGATGCGTTCACGTTGTATTCGAACGTCTATATTCCATGCTCCATCTGTATCGTTGCAGAGAATCTCCCTTCCTATCTACCTTACTCTCGAAAGCGACCATAAAATATCCTCGTGGGGGCTCAATTATCCAACCGATTCACGCTACCTGACGTCTACTGGTAATATTTCCCCTACTAATATCACTCTTGTATCAGATTTTGACTGATGGCATTCACTATCACATGGAGTACAACATAGAACAGACGATTTAATGGTTATAATACACAACTTGTTCTGGGAGGGTTCGGTTTCTCATTTTGTTTTACTTGAGGAAATGACAGGTACATGTATTCAGGTATAGGTAGTCAGGCCAAGACGTAGCTTCTCAGTACTCACAGGCCACGGTTCACAGTTATTGGTAAAGGTTCTTAATGCTTGATGGATCTTGTTGCATCTCACGAACTTCCCAAAGTGTTGCATTTCGGATCTTGATCCGGTCTGCTACCAACCCCTTTTCTTCTTGTAACACTTTGCTGAGTTCTTGTCACAAACAGGTAGTATGTCTTGTAATACATCTTCGATCGAACAATCCGAATGTGACTCGTAGCCCAAGTTTCCACAAGTACTGAGATTCACAAGTTCCAATAGTCGTCCCAACTCAAAGAGCCTGGCAAGTCAAAGTCATCCCATTATCCTGAGCCTTCTGCAGAAGTTCGTCATAGGCAGAGTCCATCTCGGACTGCGTCAGCCAGCCGCTCTGTCGCATTGCATTCAGCGCATTCTTGAGGTATTGCCAGCAGTCGTATCCGTTTGAGGGGAGGAGATCCGTGTCATTGATAAGCTCGTCGACTTCGTCGAAGGTGTCGACGTACCCGTTGATAGGAATATTGGCGACAAGTTTCGGAATCAGAGAATCGACGTAGCTGCCTGACTCACGGCGATCGCGGTCGAGCTTGAAAGTTCGGGTTTGGCCCTTTTGGGTCGCGTGATAGCGATAGGATACGTCATATTCGTCGCGGTCGATCACGATAGCTACGTGATAAGATTGTTTGTGATAGCATACCAGCCTTGCTTGCAGCTTTTCGGCCTCTCGCTTGTGTAAGGATACGTCTTTGGCTATGTCTCCATTGTGGGCGGGAGTGGCATAGACGCTGGTGACGTTAAGAACGATAGATAGTAGGGTAAAAATGAAGTAACCAAGCAACATGATTGAAAGAGACCAGTTGCCTAGGCAGGAGTCTAAAGATTCAGGCTGGTGATGCAAAAGTCTAAGGCAAGTGGTTGAGGCACAGTGAGAGGCGTTTAGTCTGATAAAATATCATCCATGAGATATAACGAGATACAACGAACACTTATATTCTCTCATGTCTTATAAATCACTGAAGAAAGCCGCCAGATATACTTCATGTGACACCGCTCCATAGGCCATTTCTCAAAATTGACAGATATGAAAAGGCAGAACTAAGTTCGAGGTAAGACCCGTCGTCATTTAAGGTAGGTAAAGCGGCAAGACCGAGGCTCAATGACGATCACCCTTCCGTCAGGGGCATGGAGTCAACTTGGATACTTTCTGAATGTCGGAATGGTGCTTGGTGATAGAAATCGGTCGCCATGATTGAACGATCCTATTTTGAGTCCTTCTTTGCAGATGAGGAGTAAAGGATGGCACTGGAACATGATAAAACACAGTGGTATGCTACCTACTTGCTGAATGCATGCGAGGTATTTTCACTACGTTTGGAAGACCTTTGACATCACAGGGGTACTAGTCATGTCTTATGGAAAGAATCTAGTCAGGCCAACGCTGATAGCCATGCCAATCCATCAGTGCTGGGTTGGAGATATTCCCGGATTCACCGGATATAGTGTACTATAATCAAGCTTTCACCGCGACAAGTGTCATTTCATTCGACGGAGTGGTTCGTTTTACACTCCAGCCGAGCTAAAGATGATTTTTCATTAGTACACAAGTCAACTCCGCCAATTGTTGATTTCTGATGTAACCAATGCTGGATCCCCGTGGCAGTTGTACTGCACCGGAAGAGACCGAAATCTACCAGCGTATATTTATAGTGGTTTTACTTGGCGTCAGTGTCCGCCAGGCATTGACCCTAGCAGGTGTTCCATTGCCCCTTGTCATGGTGAACTGAGGTGCCGTTCCGGCGACTTATTCTCATTTTTGGACAAGTGCTGCGTTGGTTTCGATTTGCCTACCAAATTCGGGTGCGCAAATTACTACTTAGTATTTTTTCGCCAGGTGTTTCGATTGTCTAATACGTTCCAGGTGATGTCGGCAGGTGTCTAGCTTAACTGAAGCCCATCACGGCAGGTTCCAGCTGCTCCTCTGACTACGAGCTATCTACGCCGCATTAAGCAACGATTTCACGTCGATTTTTACTTCATGTAGCAGTTCTGACTCAACCATCCTCGTCCGGCAAGAGATTCAATTCTCTCCGTTCTGGCAGAAATCGATGGGGTTGAGTTGACCAGGATTTCGAATTCGCGTATCTTGAATGATGCGAGCGATTCCCCTTCGGTTTCGGTGCCGGGTTTCGGCAGCTAATATGGAGCGGCCCCGCCATTGCTCTCCAGCCTAAATGACTCGTAAAGAATACAAATACCACTGCAAATAATTACACGGTCATCGAGAAACAAAAGCATTTATTCACCTTCTAAAGTGAAGCGTGAAACATGCTTAAGGGCTCATTCTCAATTAGGAGGCGGCTCTTGAGAAGCGCCGAGGGTATCGACGACATGGCGACAAGCACGACCGAAAAGCGAGCCGCCACAGACCAATTCAATCTCAGCTTGTTATCGCCCATGGACTACTGAGATAGAGACTGGAGTTAGCATGCAACAGAGCTCTTATTGATGCTCGCTGCTTTCCCGTATCAGCCACCATCGTATTACTTTTAGCGGGAGGCTGCTGCCTAATGTTGTCATGGCGACTAACAAAAGTTCCCTAGACTACCTCACTTTCTTTAGTTCTTTTGAACAGTCTTGTGCTCTCGCGATCTGGCCACTTGGCGGAGTTTGCGTTTTCAAAATCTCCTCAGGCATAAGCGCACAAGTATCACTGAAACGCTCGCCAAGCACACGGATACTTGCTTTCATTTTCCCTGCATCAACTCTCACCCCGAAGCGGAGTCGTAATGTATCCTAAGCCTGGTAGTGTTTTCGAAAACGGCGGGATTGCAAGTCTTGCGATCCTTCTCTTTGCCACGACGGTGGACTGCATCACTCCGCTATCATCTGGCCTCGCTAGCACTGGAAAATGCAAGCCGGTGACTTGGGAAGATTCCACAACCCCCGGCCGGCCCGCGGCCACGATCTCACGACCACGCGCATGCACAACTCACACAACCATTCATGGGATCAGAGGTGCCGATACAAAGCCTGGAGAGATCAACTGTCGCTATGCTAGCGACACCAATGAGAACGTGGGTCCGGAGACCTGCCAAGAGCTCGCAACTCGTTACGGGATTACACTAGACAAGTTCTTCCTCCTCAACCCTTCTCTGGACCGAGACTGCGGGAACATACTTCCTTGCGCCTCATACTGCACTCGTGGATGTACGTGACCCCAATGCACGAGTTTTGACTGTAATCAAACTTACCTTTCTACCTGCTTTAGTTGTTGAACCGAAAAGGGCGTGGGATGGCATCTGTGGTCCGTCGCGCCCAGGCGTGACCTGTGTCGGGACTAATGGGCAATGCTGCAACTCTGAGACTTGGCGATGTGGTCAGAGAGAGTAAGTGATAAAGTCCCGATCTTTCGCTGATATTGATGGCTGTCTATCACCGGAACTCGCAGATGCTGACCCTGTCCACCGTGCTTCAGCATAGACTGTGCTCCTGGCACTTGCTGGGAGGGTATTTGCTGGGGCCACAAGGTGTACACCACCGATGGGACCTGCGGATATGCCAACGGGAATCGCAAGTGTGCTGGCAAGCAGGGAACTTGCTGCAGCATTTATGGCCGCTGCGGCAGATATGAAGACTTTTGCGGCGCTGGAGTTTGCCAATCCGGAGACTGTGAAAGTTCACAGCCACATATGGACGTATTCCTCATGAACGAACAGATATGCCGCATTTGAGTGGTTCATGTAAGTACGCAGACAGAGTATGAGGCTCAAGGCAACGTTGTCGGAATGTCTTCTCCCCCTGATTTAGCAGGGCGGGCTCGGATTCTGACGAAGGTGGGACCATGTGAAAATAGAAGTGAGGGGCATTTTGCGATACCCCGCCAACGTGGGCAGCCTCAACTCGATCGCACGGCTCTCCTGGTAAAAGCAGAAAATCTTCATGTCATCAGGAAAATAAGCTTAATTCGACTAGCGATACATCTAGGAATATTGGACATCGTTCTTAACATGACAGAAGCCAATGATTGCTCGCAACCGGTGGGGAGAGGCAAAACGGAAATCACTTCCCGTTCTCCCTAGGTGGTTAAACATACTTCCGGGAGCGGTTTACTCACGATTAGAAATCCATGCCGACGTCATAGAAGAAAGCAACAATTAGCTACGTAAGTCACACGTAAATCACGCCAGTGATAACATCACTTTTCGCCATTTATAACGCGAGCCCAAAGTTCAATTCAGCTTCTTCATCTTCACGGTACACGATACAAAGCGTTACAATGACTGCCAAGATCTTCATCACAGGAGCTACGGGCTACATCGGCGGCGACGCCCTCTACCAGCTTTACCAGAAGCACCCGGAGTTCGAATACGCGCTTCTCATCCGAACACAGGAAAAGGCAGACAAGGTGCTCGAGAAGTACCCGAAAGCCAGGATTGTCCTTGGGGGACTCGATGATTCGGAAACCCTGGAGCGCGAGGCAGCATGGGCTGATGTCGTACTTCGTAAGTTGTCTATATCTCAAACACGAGTTAGACCCCCTCACTGACATACATATCACCTCGCTCAGATACCGCCGACTCTTCAGACCACGCAGGTGCAGCCAAGGCTATTGCAAAGGGACTCGTATCAGGCCACTCGCCATCCCGGCCAGGGTTCTGGCTGCACACAGGCGGCACCGGTATCCTGACCTACTTCGACTCGGAAGTGAAGAAGACGTTTGGCGAGCACGACGACAAGGTCTTCAACGATTACGATGGCGTTGACGAGCTCGTCAATTTGCCAGCTGCCGCATTCCACCGCAATGTGGACGAGATTGTCCTCGAGACCGGCAACAAGCACGCCGATTCCGTCAAGACTGCCATTGTTTGCCCTCCCACAATTTATGGCCAAGGGCGTGGCCCCGTGTCGGGAAGAGGTCGTCAGGTGTACGAACTGGCTGCTTTTGTGCTGAAGGAAGGCTACAGTCCCCGCATTGGAAAGGGACTTGCCCGGTGGAACAACGTTCACGTTCATGACCTCAGCGTGGTGTTTGAGTTGCTAGTCGAGGCCGCGCTCGACCCATCTCGGAAGGAGGACAAGGAGATTTGGGGTGCCAAGGGATACTTCCTCACGGAGAATGGCGAGCATGTTTGGGGTGACTTGTCGACGCTGGTTGGGAAGGCAGCACATGAGCAGGGCTTCATTAAGCAAGAGCCCGAGGTACGGGAGTTGTCTTATGATGAGGCCGTCAAGTCATCTGCTGGGTTCGAGGCAGCTAGCTGGGGCTTGAATTCGCGAGCTTCTGCCTTGCGTGCGAAGAAGGTTCTCGGATGGAAGCCACAGGAGAAGAGTCTAGAAGATGAAGTACCGACCATTGTCAAGTCTGAGGCAGCTAGGTTAAAGCTCTAGAATCTCAACCTTGACTAGTTAATGAAGTCACTACTTACTTTTGATCATCCGAAGTTTGGCACCATCATCCTATCAATCCAAAGTTACATGCTAGTACATGCAGACAGTAGTAATCACGCACCTCATATGCCGTTGCAAGTAGTGGAGGGTTGAGATAACACTCGATGGCGTGCTCAAAGTTGGCCGATGGCGGAGATGGTCGGCAATTATCATGCACATGAACCGGCGCAGGATGCGATCTCGACATTGCTCCTCACTTGCGCGTCATCTCCAACTTACATAACCAACTCGCTTGATGCCAAATGCCAATGAGGAAACAGCACGTATATCAAGACGCCTCAGCTCTCATTCTCATCACATAACCTCAACATGAGAACAAGACGTTTCTGCCTCACTACATATCATCACTCAATTTGAAGCCTGCAGGTATTCTGCCACCATGTCTGCAACCTCAGTCCGCGAAGGCGGCCCAGAACTCAAAGGCCCCCTCGACTTTCAAGACAGCCCCCTCCGCAAAGCCTCCCGCCAACCTCTTCTACTAGGCCTCTTCCTCAACCTCCAAGACATCAACTTCTCCACCCACCCAACAACAAACACCTGGACCTTCGACTACAACGTCGCCCTCGTCCGCCGCGCCGAACAGCTCGGCTTCGAACTCGCCTTCAGCCGCACCCAGTGGCTCCCCAAAGGCGGCTACGACGGTGAGGCTTCGCTCGACGCCTTCGTCGCCCTGGGTGCCATGGCGGCCGTGACGGAATCTATTCTGCTCATCTCCACCATGCATGTCCTCTACGGGCCGCTTCATCCCTTACATATTGCCAAGTACGGCGCTACGCTGGATCACATCGCCAAGGGCCGTTGGGGTATCAATGTAGTTACGGGTCATCGGGCCGTGGAGCACGAGATGTTTGGCCGGCAGCGCATTGAGCATGATCAGCGGTACCGGATGGCTGGCGAGCTGTTTGACGTGGTGAATAGTCTCTGGAATGAGACGGAGAACATCTCGTACGAGGGTAAAGTCTCGCCGTGGCGCGTCGAGAATGCGTGGATCACGCCGAAGCCACAGTTTGGCCGCCCGATCCTCGTCAACGCGACGGGTTCGCCCGCAGGCATCGAATTCGCCGCCCGGTACTCTGACCTAATCTTCATTACCTCGCCGGGGACGGCGCACATTGACAGCGCGCTCGAGACCCTGCCGGCCCATATTGCCAACATCAGGGCCGCTGTAGAAGCCCAGGGCCGCAGCGGGGTCAAGATCATCATCAACCCGATCATTGTATCGAAAGACACGCCTGAGGAGGCATGGGCGTACGCGGAGAGCATCGCCGAGGGAGCCAAGATCCAGGCGGGCACCAAGAAGTTTGGAACGGCGAACGGGGCGTATGATAGTGATGCTCATGCTTGGCGGGGTAGGAAGGATGCCAAGGAGAATAAGGGGTTGAATCTGGGAGGGAATATTGAGATTATTGGGTCGCCGGAGCAAGTCGTTAAGCAGCTGGATGCGCTACACAAGGTTGGCATTGATGGTGTCCAGATCAACTTTTATGATTTTGCACCAGATCTGGAGTACTTTGGCGAGAAGATTTTACCTCTGTTGAAAGATGCTGGTCTGCGAATAGATTGATACTGAGCGGGTTTTAAATGCATGTAGATCCAAAATGTTCTTCATCATTAATTTATCCCCTTGGGTCCCGCCACGTGAATGCAAAGCTCCAAAATCGCCATGAAAGAATCGAAAATCATACCACCCAAATGCTGTACAGTATGTTTTACAAAGTCTACATAGACCTCCTTCGACCCATCAAGAGCTAGTCGACTTCCGACATTTTGGCGGCGGACTCAGCGGCGTCGGGCATTCCAAGTCCACATCCTCCTCATTAACGCCAAAATAGTACACATCATCATCCGAATCCCGTTCCGTTAACGCTATGCTCATATGCCTCCTCACACTCAGATCCCTACGCAGCGCCACGCCGAGACTGCTATCACTCCGCAAACTACTCCTCACGCTCGCCCGTCGAGGGATCCCACGCTCACGTTCCACACCCCCTTCGACGCGCTCACTCTCAACAACGACGATGCCGTGCTCGCTCTCCCGCCGGATCCCGTGAACCTCCACCACCGGCATCGCGGCAGCGGCCGCCGCCATCATGGGCCCCGCGTGCAGAGGCATGGGCACGGGCTCAATGTCGTCGAGACCATTGATGCTCGAGTGGTCGCTCTGCTTCCGCGTGCGTAGCCAGAAAAAGGTCGGACCGGGTTTCCTCATGCCCGTTTCCGAGGCGCAGCTGATGGACGACGATATCCTCTCGTTGTTGACCCCGTTCATACCTGGGAGAACGCGTTGCGGGCCCTCGCCGAAAGTCATGTCCTCTCTGAACATGCCTCCGCCAAAGATGGTGGCGTCGTCGTAGTCGTCGGTGAGGCCTCGTTGTCTTCGTTCAACGAGCGGTCGGAGGGTGGGGATACAGCAGCAGATGACTGCGCAAGAGAGTTCTACGACGGACCAGAGGATGATGGATATCCCATCGTACGTCATGTCGACCATGTCAAAAGACCCTGGGAGATATGCGATCCGCATGACGGATACTGCGCATGTTCTGGGCGGAAACAATTCCGCATTAGTACCAAGGCTTCTCATGAAGGAAGAAAGGGTTTTAACTCACAGTAGCCCCAAGGTAAAGCTGATGACGAGAGCCAGCTTCTCCACGCGCCGAAGTCTTAGCCTTCCGAGCAACGGTAACGGCAGAACGAAGATGAAGATGTTCGTAAGCAGGTGTATTGATGCATTGGCAAGCCACCATCCCAACACACTGACGGGCGAATCCGTCATCTCGCGCTTGAGGACCAAGCTGTACGTGATGCCCGCCGATACCATCAAGGATACTCCAAACAGAACGAGAAACGCGATGCCCGCATTGCACAGCATCTCGACCATGAGAAGAGGGAAGCTTCGGCGGTATTGGAGGAGGAAGGCGATCTTGATGGTGATGAAGGCGATGCTGTAGATCATCATTATGAACATTGCGAGCTGTTTTTAGGCATGTACAGTTAGCATCTGAGGCAGAGATGGAATTCCCATGTTTGGAAAAGCTAACCTTTTGAGCTTTCTCAATTGTTTGTGTCTGCGTCATCCAGACATGCTTTCCAAGTCCGAATTTGGTACCTGTGTCCCTCTCACCCACGTCAGCTCATACAGTGTTCTTCCATGATTGTCCTCTCCATCTGAACACCTACTCCTTCGCGGTTAAATCCAATCAGTTCAATATCACAAACTTACCCAAACATAGCATGATCCCATGGAAAGCCACCGTAGCAAACGAAAGCGTCACCATCGTATCGT